CCCCCCACCCACACCACCCCCCCACCACCCCCCCCCCCCCCCCCCCCCCCCCCCCCGCCCCCGCCGCCCCCCCCCCCCAAATGTAGGAGGAATGTAAAATTTTTTTGAGAAAACCATAGCAGGAAAATATAACATCATCTACCATCATAATTTTAACACGATAACTAAATGATAATGATGATGGCGATATCAATTTGAGCTTATTTTCTCATTGAAGAAAAGTTGGAGAAATATTTTGCTCTTAACTATTTTGTGAGACAAAGTGGAAGAAAGCATATTGTCATTAAATATTGATTAGATTGGTTACCCAATCTGAGCAATTCTTGGAAGAAAAGAGATTGTTAAAAAGAAATTTTTTCCTGGATACTTATGCAAGTAAAATTTTTCTAAACACACAGATTTGTAGTGCAAACTTTTCTGATCAAAATAAGACCTCGCATAACTCTGTATGATCTTGTATCAAAAAGTTACAGGCATTTCCCTACAAGTCCTAAAATTGAGTATTTTATACAGCATTTAATACAACGTTTTCTCTATATAAGAGTTACACCTGAAGTATTTCCCAAGATTTTTTATAGCGATGTGTCGTAGAGAGTTCAGTCTGTTTTTGTTTAAAAGAGGAAAGGAAGCTACATGGACTGATCGATGCCGATTTTTGAATTAGGTCTTAGTTTTTTATCAAATTAAGGATTTTTAGAAAATCTGAAAGGAGTTTTTGGGTTTTGAAGGTTGTTGGTTGCCTAGAAAACCAATAAAAAAAGGCTTAATTGAAAAATCGGCGCCAGTCAGATCATGTAGTTAGATGTCTAGCTTAAAACAAAACAAATCCGAACTCTTCAGCTTGAAGTATATTAAAAATCTGGGGAAGTACTTCAGGGTCCTTTTTTGGACTTTGATCTCTGGAACACTTCGGAACGGTAAGAGTTGGAGACAAAAACATTTTTTCATTCCCGTAACTCATTAAGCCGAACATTTATTAAAAGTTTCACCGAGATCGGATGTACGGTATCGAAGATAATTTCTGAGAGAGGAGGGCCTTAATCCAGTAAATATTTTGACATAGGGTTAAATAGATTAAACAAACACATTACATTGAAATATATAAATTGTTTTTTTCTTTATCTCTGCTTTTGTTCTATGACTAGAGAAGTTTCATCACTCTCTTCTCTTAGAAAAGAACGGTCAAAGGTAGGAGTTTTCCTGAGTTGAATTGTCTTGTTTCTTCGGGAAAGATGCACTCTGAAAACAAAACTCCGGCTTATGTTTGAAAATGAAATGATCTCATCGAAAAACTGTTCCATTTATTTTGATTTCTTACTAAAGTCATTGATATGGTCAGTTCTTCAGATGTCTTCACGATCATCCAACAGGACTACTGTTCAACTCCTAATAATGAAAATAAGACGTAAAAATAGCTCATATTAATGTAAGACGAATAAATTTGTTTATCTTAAAATAAAACGACATAAAGTCAGTTTTGAAATATCGTCTTATAATAAAGCGAATAAAATCAACTATTTTGTGTCGTTTTATTTTAAGACGGTTTTTCTTTTAGAGTATGAGTAAATATAAGTTCCTTGAAGTAGATGAACTGTGTGAACTTTCAATATCGTAAATAAATCAGTGTTCATTAGCTTCCGATTAGGTCTCGTCGCGGATTTACCTTTTGGTCAAATGACCAAAATGTCTACAAATGTAACTGGTTATTCTCTTCTATTTCTAACATAAATATCAAATTCGAATGCTGCATATTAATATACATTTGAAATTCGATCATAATAATATATAGGACATGTGATCAACATATCGAACTCATACAACAGGTTTGTTGACGGAGAATCAATTTAACTTTTGTTCGATTTTTGTCATGATTATATCCGACAAAACAGATGCAAGTAGTGATTCTATAGCAGAGACGGCGAAATGATTCTGAAACTATGGGTATTCAAGGATAAGAACGCAAAGAAAAAATCAGTTTCTTCTAGAAGAAAACGAAAATTTTCAAAATCTGTAAGTGTCAAGGCATCCACGACTCCCATGATTCCACCGCCTCTGTTCTACAACAAAAACCATCTATTTGCAAACAATGTCTATCCAAGAATTGAAAGTAAAAGAGATACCATAAGTTCTAATAGCTTTTTCATAATTTTCCTATCGAATTGTACATCCGTCATTTTTACAGGTTTATACATCTAATCAAACACCAACTCTACCGTCTCGTTCGCATATGTGCATTTCCAAGGTATCATCTTAGAACAAATAAAACAACATCTCCCACACAAAATTCTCGTCGGAGACAAAAAACTTCTTCCATGACTTTTTTAAAAAATAGAAATGATGAACAAATTAAGGATTAAGAAAAAAGACGAAACTGCTTAATGAGCACTTGTAGTATGTGTATTTTTCTCCACGAAAATCAAAATATATTTTGAAGCACTTAACTGTTTCGAGTAGTGGTGTTTTTAAAATATTTTCACATTTAAACGTTAACAAAGCAGGAGAGCCTGGCTTGAGTAATCGTATTTTTCGGGAATTAACAATTCCTTTTACTTGACTTCTAAATGAATTCTTCGCTAGTAGTATTTTTCCTTTATGTTGAAAATTAGAGTATGTTAATGCACTTTATAAATCTGGTACTGTTCATCAGTTTTCTAATTATCCGCCTATAATTTTGTTGCCGTCTTTTTCTAAGGTATGTGAACGTCTTGTACATCATCCATTATATAATTACTTAATACGTAATTAGGCATGCACCGGTTTCGGTTTTTAACAGATTAACCGAAACCGATCATAATCGAAAATGTTGCACAAGTTCTTGAAAACACATTTGACACAATATGAAGGAAACATCTGTTGTTCAATCAACAACTGTTCATCCCGGAAGAAAGATGCACGGTGTACAAAATCAGAAATAAGCCAAAT